TTTGACAAAAGGTTCCGGGTTTCCCAATAGGGATGCAAAGCAGGAGACTCAGCCTTGTTTTTCAAGTCGCCATGCTTCCTTTGGGAGGCCAAAGTTTCCAAGGAGAGGCAGTCCTCGGCTTACAGCCACAATGGAATCCTCGAATTTTCTCTGGTTAAGCGAGACAGCGGTTCAAGGAGATTTGTCCCGTTTTAATGACCTTTTTGGCCACCATTGCAAAGCGAATCGCTTTTGGCGTTCAGTGAATCAGGGGGTCGAAATCTGGGTTTCCCCATTTGACCTTTGCTTGTTCGAAAGTCAGCTGGAAAAGTTAGAAAACGCACGCAATGGTTTGCATTCAAAAGATCATTGTGACCCTGAGACGTTTACCATTGCACATAAATGGCGAGGAGGAGGTGGAGAGGGTCGGTAGTTTTAAATTTATGGGCACTTCTATTTCGGAGGACCTCTCATGGACTATGAATGCTAACATGCTTGTGAAGAAGGCACAGAAGAGGCTGTACTTCCTGAGAACGCTCAGGAAGATAAATCTATCTCAGTATCTACTTCTGTCCTGCTACTGCAGCACCACTGAGAGTGTCGTGATATAAGGCATTCTTGCATGGTATGGGAGCAGCTCTGTAGTGGACAAAAAAGCTCTACAGAGAATTATTAAAACTGCCCAGAACATCATCGGGCTCCAGCTACCAACCCTGGATGAGATCTTCACATGTCGCTGTTTGAGGAAGTCGCACAACGTTCTCAGAGATTCTTCCCATCCTGCTTACAATCTTTTTGGACTGTTGCTTTCTGGTGTCAACTAAAAATAATAATACTCCTTTGATCTTTTTAGTTGCCAGCAGAAAGGGAGTGGGGGAAAGCAGTGCATTCCTCAAATGCCTCAGATAATCACCTTGGGAGCCCAAAGCTGTTGGCGCACAAAAATATTACTGGAGAGCGTGATTGATGACTCTTGGCTATGGATGTGTCCCATTGGAGAATATACATCCAGGGGGGGAAGACCAGGGTCAAGGGGGAAATGAATGTATTTTAGTGTCAGCTATACCCAGCTAATGCCAACATGGCCACTCCTAATAAATCATTTTTATTTTTTTCAGTCTGAGAGATGCAACTAGAGACTTATGATTTGAATGGGGGTGGATTTGTTGGAGCGCTGACAGCTGGCAGAAGATACAGAACAATTAGAACTTGGACCACACATTTTCAGAACAGTTTTTATGCCAGAGCTATTATTGCACTTAACAATGAACTTAAGGACCACCATCAGGGAGCTGTTGGATAGTATCACTTGGTCTGTTGTGTGGAGGCTTGTGTGTTTTTAGGAGGCGGGGAGTTTTGGTGGTGGTGGGTGTTTGGGGATTGTCATGTGTGTATGCGTGTTGGGTCTGGTTTCTGGGTGTTTCGCTGTATGTGTATACTGTGTATATACATACAATGACAATAAAGTATTTCAATTTCAAGGATCATGTCATAAAGACACGCCAGTTGCCAGTTTTGATCACGCGACCATTGGATTGCTGCAAGGGTCATAAGTGTGAAAACCAGTCATGTCACTTTTTTCAGTATTTTGGACGGTCAGTAAATGAAAGTTTGTAAGTCAAAGATCCCCTAAAAAAAGTAAAGCTATTCCACCAGAAAGTACAAATGTCCATTTGACAGATTCCAAATTTCAATCCATGAAAAAAGACCTCATCCTCAATCATGGAATCCTGTATTTCTGGAAGATATTTGCAATTTCTACACCTTCAATTTGTTAGAGGACAATTGTTTTTTAGAGAAGAAGAAGCTGTTTTTCGAAGTTTTTTGAAGAAGCTGTTAAAACCAACCAGACCAAATCAGTGATGGCCCATATTCCAGAAAGGAAAGGAAATGTGAATGAGATAAGAGACCAGCAGAGGAAAAAGTGATTGAGAAAATATTTGAATGTGCAGAGATGAATAGATTAACACTGGAAATTAAAGAAAAAAAAGAAACTGATTATATGATTATGGGACTTATTTTATAAATGGTTAGAAAATAAAACATGGTAAAATTGAGTAGAAGAATATACAAAGAAATCAGTCAAGATGGTTATAAGGGTTATAAACATAAGAAGAAATGATTTATGATTTACCAAGAAAATGTGATTATTGTTATATTGGTTAAAACATATTGATTAGGATTGTTAGCACAAGATATATGTACCCAGTCGACACACTGTATGAATGAAAGATGGAATTATTGTAACTATTTAAAAATGAATATTTTTTTTAAAAAAAATCAGTGATATTCCAGATAGGAAAGCAAAAGTGAATCAGATAAGAGTAATACTTTGGGCTTTGTTCCTATAGTTTCAACTCTCTTCTATCCCTGCTTACCCTGGCTGAACAGAAGGGCCTCCCCCCAAGAAAACTGGATCCCTGATCACTACAAAAATCCCAGGAATCAGCCAACAAGTTGTCTTGTAACACAAGGGTCCCCATCTTCTGGTCCGTGGACCAACAACAAGCGAAGCCCCACCTGCAGGATGCCTCTCTCCATGGATCTGTGGTGCCCAAATAATTGGGGGCCACTGCTGAAACAGATGGCCACATTCTTGACTAAGAAGGTCACAAGACAAGAGTAATAAACCATTTCAGGAAGAGAACGTGGATAAACAAGATGTGAAGGCTGGGATTCCTTTCACTGCATTGTCCTGGAAGCCCACTGTGATATGATGGTTGGGTTCCCAACATAACACTTTCAATAAAAAACAACCTGTATAGTCAGCAAGGAGCAACTAGTCGGCCCTGGCTGTTCTCAAAAGTTAAATTGGGCAAGATCTAGTTGGTGCATGGATGAGGGGCCACTAAAAACTCTGTTGCTGTTGGCTAGACAGGGAAGCTGAAAAAAAAATCACCCCAGAAGACAATGCTAAATCACTTCTATTCTATACCCTAGAAAATAATCTGCCCATGGACATCAACCAGGATGATATATAAATATAAACACAAAACAAAACAAAATAAATACAAAAATATAAAACAGAATAGTAGGATTGGAAGGCACCTTGGAGGTCTAGTCCAGCCCCCTGCTGAAGTAGGAGATCCTGGCCTATACCACTCTAGACAAATGGCAGTCCAATCTTTTCTTAAAACCTTCAGTGATGGAGCTCACACAACTTCTGAAGGCAAGCCAAGCCATTCCATTGATTCTCACTGTCAGGAAATTTCTCCTTAGTTCTAGCTTGGATCTCTCTCCTTGATAAGGTTCCATCTATGATTTCCTGTCCTGCCCTCAGATGCTTTGGAAGGTAGGTTGACACTCTCTCAGTCCAATTTGCTGGTGTCCCTTCAAATGTTATATGAATACAGATCATACCTATCTCTCTAAAGGGATTACCTCACATTATCCAGGTTATCCTTAGGCCCAAAAATGTTTCCTCCTGCAGAAAAAAAAAAAGTTTGGATACCTTTCCAGATATAATTCATAGCTAGAGGAAGTGTTGAGGATGTTACTTTGAGCCGCTGTTGGAAAGGGGGGAGGAATCAAAATCTAAAAGTTAACCATTAATATCAAGCTTACTTCAGACCACCGATCCCACACGTCCACTTTTCATGGGAAGTGTTTTATATATATTTTTTTGGCAGTGGTTTCCTTGGTAGCCTTCTAACTAAGTTGGTCTACAGTTCACAGTGCAGTCAACACACAATGGGAGTTGAGAAACGTAATTAGGTCTGAAAGGCACCAATTCTGTGAAAACAAATCAAACAGCCTTAACTATCCCATACAGTTTGATCCCTCCCAGTCGGCTTTGCCCATTGACATCAACTCAGTGGCTGGATTGACATATCCCATGAAGACATGGCTTGTCAAAGCCCCATTTTAATTGCACACAACACAATGGTCTCGTCCCATGCCATATACGCTAAGCATAAACAAACTACAATGGGACCGAACTGGGGATGGGAAGCCCCGCCCCAGCTTCAGTGTTTCCAGAAATCCTGTCCCTTCATTCATAAAATGCAAAACCCCTAAAAGTGACGGCAGGGGGGAGCTCCCATTTCCATGCCTGGCCTCTAAATAAGGCAGCTTCCATTTTCTGCACCAAACTGAGAGTTCCCGATTTATAAGCGAGTTGGGAGAACCACAAGAGTGCCACTAATGCTGTGTGTGGGTGTGTTGTGCTTGTTTTAATGCCCGCCATAATTACTGAAGTGCCACCTGAGGTGTCTATTATTATTATTGTTTATTGTTTATTGTTTATTATTATTATTATTATTATTATTATTATTATTATTATTATTATT